CAGTTTGCAATTCAAACATAGCCCATGGACTTTCCTGTACAGCAGTTTTAAATACGATCCTTTCCTTTTCTGCAGATGCTCCCTAGATCCCTCACAAGCTGCACACTTGGAACGAGTATGACCTGCATCACTGAAGGGAATCACTCCTCTGCAGGATGAAAACCTACACACTTGGCCATGAAGGTAACAGATTCCAGTACTAAGTCATCTGCTCTAGATTACTGACAAAGTGAACAAACACTCCCTCCTATCTCCTGCCCAAAGAACTTACTTGTCTAAAGGGAACTATCATCAAAAATACAAAGCAAATAACAGAGTAGTTCCTGTACATTCTGCAGAGACAAAAATGCTCTTGTATAAGGAACTTGGTGCACTCATCTTTGCCAAAGGCAGACTGAGCACTTGACAAGGTGTGAAGTCACATGGGCACGAATGACCAACACATCCAGACTTCAACCCAGATGCAAGACACACACCTACACCAGTTGTATGTAATTTTCTAGATAAAACCCAACAAAGAACATGTTTAATTTCACTTCCTGTGTTCAAACTATAATTATCGTTGATCTAATTTACAGTTATAATTGCTCAAATCAGTTTCCATGAAGGACAATCAGAAAACAAAGATGTCAGCAGCCACTGACACGGTGACAGAAATGACTCAGCTAGAACAACCTGGGAAAGCTGTAGCAGAAGTAGGGATAAAACCCAAGCACCAATGCAACTTCCAATATTTCCATCTTTTTCTACCATCTCAACACCACCTGCTTCCCAGGACTCTTTCACCCAGCCTGTTCCCCATCTGTCCATACAACCTCATGCCTTCCCAAGCCTTTGCCTTTCCATCTGCCTCTTCCCACTTTGTCCTTCCGTAATAGGCCTCCTAAAATTTTTCTTAAAACAAGTCTCCTGTGATTTTCATGCAACTCACTCAGGTTTAGTTTTTATTCTCCCTCACAGCGCTCAGGCTTAGCAAAAGGCAGACCCAATTGAAGCATGAGAGACTGATGTTTGGCAAAGCAGTACCCTACAAGAAGTACGAAGCAATCTGTGCCAAAGATGCCACTACCACATTCAATACTTTGCTCTTACCTCCAAAACAAACAAAATAGCCCAGTTTCTCTTTCTCCGGAGAAGAAGAAAAGGGAGGGTGGGAGTAACACAGCATTAGAAAGTTATGTCTTCCCTGTTCTCTAGATACATCTACAGTACACTGTGATTCATTTTAGTTAGAGAAGGCTGGGGACTTCTTCAGAAAATTCACCCCAGCTTTTGCAGTCCCAAACAAGACAAATGCTTGAAAAACTGAGATAGTGATCAGAGTCCACTGCCAAGACCCCTGCTAATCTAGAGAGCAGAGTGGGTGAGAGAAAGCAGGCACAATATGCTGACACTCTGGCCACTCAAGGGCTCTCCGAGAATAGGGGACACTTGAGCTGGCCAAGTCAGCCTGGATCCATTGGATCCACTTGGGTTCATTTCAAGAGTACGTCTGCAAGACTCCAACTCCATCAGTCTTTTGTGGTTGTTCCAGTAAAAATAAGAGTGCTGTCTGGACTTTGCATGGAAAGGACTCAAATATTGGCTAATTTATTTTTAAAATACCCGTTAAAAATGAAAAAAAGAAGCAGCAGTAGGAGTCCAGTCATTACACAGGTACAAGAAAATCCAGTGGCACAGGGAGTTTCCACAGACAAAGGGTTTCCCACAGCCTATTGTTGGAAACACTGTGATTCAACAGCTCATTTCTTGCTCAACAGGCTGCTGATTCAAGCAGAAGAGGATGCTGATACGTTTCACCTTCTGCATTCCACCTACTGCAGCCTAAATCAACAAAAAACTCGGCTTTTAAAAACATGTGACTATATCTCATGCTAGTTCCTAGTTATTTACATTACATACTTTTGTTGTACAATATCATCTTTTTGTCAATGTCATTTAAAGGTACACATAATAAAATAATAAAACAGGAATTTTAACTGCCTCTGCCTCCTTATCTTGCTAACTTCCAGTTGGATGGTCTACTGCAAGCAGGTGGGAAGGTGAAACACAGAATATAACATACTTTCAGATTCACTGCTGTATGAAGAAACTACAGACCAGAAAAAAAAAAGAAAAGACGACATACAAGCTCACTAAACAGATAAAATGCATTTTGTAGCTTGAGACAAATACTGTTAACACTGTATCTGAAAAAGAGCCTGCTTGTGAAAATGAATGACCTGCAGCAACTCCCCAGAGAAAGCCCTCAGGTAAGGAATTCAGACGGAACCAGGGAGCAAGGCAGTGGAGGTTATTTTAAACCCAAGCCTTTCTACAGCTACCTCCAGGTGCAGTCCTAAATTCAGCAACAGTATCTGTTTCCCAGAAGCAGATCTGAAGCTGCCTCTGACAGGTAACTGGAGATACGCTGGGCAGCTCTAGAGGCACGGCATGTAGCTATCCTTCAAAGCAAAGCACTAGCTGTTATTTTTTAGGGAACAGATTGTACCTCTGTTCTACTGCAGAAGCTTATATACATTTCTTTCTCTTCCTCAGAAAGGCTTGTTCAGGATGCTGGCAGTGGAAAATACAAAAATTCCCTAGAGCGAGGTAGGAAAGAGAGACAGGAGAAGTGTGGCTAGAGGCTATTAGATTAGCCATTACTGACTTTATAATCCACCTAGGCTCTTAAATGTGTTAAATGTCTTGGAGCTGCATTTTTAAAACCTTAGGAATGAAAGAACAGGGAAGGAGCTTGTTTTAGCAAAGCAAGGAGGAGTCTCTGACAATCAAAAACGAGCTACATTAGGGAAAAAATGAAAACCAACCCTTCCAGAACTTTATTTTTTTTTTGCACACAAGCATAGATACGCACACAACAGATGCTGCTGAATTCAATCCTTAAAATCATGACTGTATCATTGCCCTACCTAACCCCCCCAAAATATCTTCATTTCAGTCAAGCAGCTGAACCTGTGCTTAACTTAAAAGATCATGAGTGAATGCATCTGAAGTAAGCAGGATTTGAGTGGTTTTTTGGTGAAAGCACGGGCTCCCTCTTTATACTCCTAAGGATGAAGAAAGTGTTTCGTTGATACATAGGAATAATGAAAGAAGTTACATTGTTGAAAATGACTTGAAATTCCTATTATAACAATAACACATCAATTAGTTAATAGCTTAGAATCAAAATATAAACCTACTCTGTTTCACTCAAGTCTGGATATACATCATTAATCTCTAATGATGTGATGACTGTATTATGTTTTACTAGGAAAGCTTTAAGAATCATGAATATTCCCAATAAAAGGAGAAAGTTCTGAACCGCACAGTTTCCAACAAATATAAACTAGGAGGTCTGCAATTACACTGACATGTGAGTTGAAATATATATTTAAAGACTGCATAGGGAACAGTGACTGTATTTAATGCTGTCCAACATATGTTGATGTAGACATAGCTTTCAATTTCTAGACTTTTCAGTTAAGCTCAGGATGATTTAAAAAATCATGATGATTTTTTAATGACTCAGGATGATTTAAAAAATTTAGTTAGGGAAAAACTTGCTCCAAAGTAAAAACCTGTTGGCATTTCTCAGAATAGGAGCAGTGGAAAATGCATTGCTTGGCTCTCCTGTTTTCTTTTAAAAACAGCAAAAAACCACAGCAAGTTAATAGCAAGACAGGTTTAACTGAAAAGCCCCACTACCTTCATGCTTTGAAACACAGATTTCACATCTTGAAGGGAAATCAGGGAGGTACTTTTGCCTGTTCTAGAAAAAATCCATACAAAACTGGCACCTAAAAGCCTATTTGCAGACACCAAAATAGGTTACTTAGAAAGTTGAGTTCTCCAAGCACGAGGTGGCCCAAAAACCAAGCGATGAAGTGTAGACTGCCCTGAAATTGACTCCTTCAGTGCCTGGATCTGCCACGGAGCCTGCACTCCCAATGCCTCGCCTGCTAACGGGCAGGCTGCGGTGACCAGAGAGGAGAACATGCGGGAGCTGTCGCGGGAGAGCGGTGGGGGGACAGCCTGGCCTCAGCACCGGAGCGGGATTAAGGCGGGTGCGGGGATTCGGCAGCGCCCGAGAGGGGGGGACGGGGCGTCCCGGCCGGCGGCGGCTCCATCCCCGGGGGCAGTAGGAGCCACCGGCGCGGCCCGCAGCGGGGAACGGCACCGCGGCGCCCCCTGGCGGCCCGCAGCGCCCCCGCCCCTTCCCCCGGAGCCGCGGTTCGGTTCCACGCCGCCTCCGTGTCCGCGAGAGGCCGGGAGGGAGAAGGGCTCCCAAAGGTGAGGTTCAGCGGCCAGGCTGGAGGGGGCTTTGAGAGACCACCTGGTCTAACGGGGAGGTGTCCCCGGCCATGGCGGGGGGGGTGGAACTAGATGATCTCTAAGGTCCCTTTCAGCCCAAAGCAATGTATGATTCTGTGATGGTGTCCCGCGGGGAGCCCTGTTTGTTAACGCACAGGAGCTCACGCAACCCCTGCTGCCGGCCTCTCACCCCCACAGCCCCAGGAACCCCCCAACAGGCTGCCATGCAACACCTCTTGCACAAGGGAGTCGTCAGGTAGCAAACGAGACCCTAGTTAATTGAGCCAGCCATTAACAAGCCCACCCCTTATTAAGCACCAGCAAATACACGCGGCAGAAGGACACTGGAAACCAGGCTTCATCGGTTTCCCGCTGCCACAACCACTTGCTTGCTCCTGAAATCAGGTTCCTCAGGCAGTTTCCATGTTCTGCAGTACGTGAGGAGGTACCACCTGGGACTACGGTGTCTTAACTCCAGACTCCTCACTCATTCCCAAAGCACCGTTCATCCCATGCTCCAGCTGGTGCAAGAGTCTGGTGGGAAGGAATTAGACACGGTGTGAGGCTGTATTTGTGCTGGCAACTTTAGTACTTTCTACCTGTCAAAGATCTATCCTTCCACCTACATGTTGCTTTCATGTGAGATTCGTATCTATTAGAAATAAATATATATTTTCATAACTTTAACAGAAGTGGCAGTTTACCTGATGGACTGTTTCTTCAATTGCTTTCATATAATGGTTAAGTTCTCTGTCCATTGCAGCATATTCTAACATGACACTTTCCATACTGTTAACGTCCTCTACATCATCTGCAAAACAAAATGTTTTGTACAAGGATGATCAGCTGTATTATTTTCAGGCAGCATTTTTTCTTTACAGATATGAAGACAAACATTAATGCTGTGAATCTCTAAAGCATCTGGAAGGCACAGCAGGTGTTTTCAAGCTCCTCAAACATATACTTTTTTTTTCCTATTTTGCAACTGTAAACTTTGACATTTCTTGGGTAACTTGAACAAACAGCTTACTCAGAAAGACACTTCCCTGGTTTCATATGAACAAGAGAGAGTGTGTGTAATTTCATCAACCAACACCTAGTCGTTAGGCAATCAGGATATTTTCTGCAAAAGTTATATTTCATGAGTCATCACATTGCCCCAGAAATAGTCAAAGAAACTTAAATGCCCTCTCGGTACAGTATAGTTCACAGCTATAATTAGGCCCCTTATCCCCAATAAATACGGCTACTACAAAATCAAAACACAGCCAGCATTTTATAACCCAGGAGATAATGGAAGACTGAACAGCATTAGTGAAATCAAACAGTAAAATTTTAATTGCCAGTGAAAATCAATGAACACAGGACACGCGCATAGTAATTCACATCCACTTTTATTCTCTTCTGCTTTCCTCCTAATTTCACTCCTTTCATCTCTAACTCCAGCTCTGCTTTCCCATTCTAGGGCTGCTGTGCATCTGCCCAGCTGGACAAGGACTCTCCGAGGATGCTGCAAGACTGAAGAGGCAGCCCTGTATCTCCTGACACAGGTGCACGTACCACACCAAATACTGCCAGCTGTGGGAGGACACCCCACCACGAGCCCCTAACCCATTTAGGAAACTAAGAAATTAGGAAACATAAGCTTCCACTTTCCTACTCCCACTTATTCCTACAGTGCAGTTTCCAGGTGTAGAGAAAACAGCTGGAAGCGGTGAGAGAGCCCCGTAGCCTGCCGTGCAGCATTAGGGGTTGTCATTTCAAGGAGCGTTCCTCTTTACAAGCAGCTTAATTAGCCAATCTGTGCTGTTATTTTTAGGATGAAAATGGTGGTATAGCTTTTTAAATTAGTTTTTTTTGTAAGGAAGGGAAAATGTCCTCTGATCTGACAAGCTAGTGCATTTCCTAAGTTGCTAACTGTATTAGTATTACACAGCACAAAACCTGTCTCTGCAGCAAGCTAACAGAAAGCATTCTGAGGTTGAGAGCAAAACCTGAAACTGTTGCTGAAACACATCACTCAGGGACTGGAGCTTCATATGAAGCAGTGATGGCTCCAGGAGACAGAAGGAAAGGTGCAAAGATATATTTATACAAAAAAAAATTATATAATAAGCCATACTATTTTATGAACATGGCAGTTATAGTCATGATGTTTCCCTTAATTATATATAGGCTTGGTATGTATCAGCTTTTCATTAAGTAGATGAATGGATATTGCAGACAGGATCTTGGCATTCCAGCAACTTTCTTCTGAATAATCAGCATTTCCGTCTCCCCTTTCCCTTCCCTCCTCCCAGTTTCCATATCCTATCTGGTAACTATGATCATGCTCTTTTTCCTCCCTGCTAGGAAGCATATGAAGTGCCTCCTTCAAGGCTGACACAAATGGCACTCCATGAATCACAGGAAAGGTTTGTGTAGCAAGTAACTGTCATTCTCCTCCCATGGCCAAAATGAATCATATCCACAACATAAAGAAACTACAGTGGCCTAAATCTTTTCTTTTTAGGGGAAGAGAAGTGCCTTGTTAAACACCAAGAGAGCTGTATTAATGCCATCTTTCCAAAAAGTTTAAAAAAATCTTTCAATAAAGAATAATAATGTTGCAACTTGAGAGATGCATTAAAATAAAGCTCAAACACAGAGGTGGAACACAGCTCAGGCAAGAGGGACATTATCTGTGACGACATCCTGCCCTACATTCTTCACGTCCTGATGGTTCCACCCATCCACCGTCTGTTTTAAGTCTCAGTGGTGTCCACTGCTGTTTCCCTATTGCTGTTCCTTCACGCAGATGAAGAGCATGAACATGTTCTATATACTGGGAAATCGCTGAAAGCGTCACTGATGCATGACCATAGCCTGCCTTTAAAGGCATTGTGGATATAAAGGCAGGTCTGAAGGACTGTATACAACTCAGATGTTGTGCATCCCCTATTTGTGCTCTTTGACAGATGCTTGAGTCCATTTTCTATCTGCAGTTCAATCCATAATCCAAGGTGTTGAGAGCTAAGAGGAAATCCATGTTGTTCCACCCACTCATCTCCCCATCTCCTAAACAAGATTTTAAAAAAAACCTTACAGGCTCTTCTATTTGCCTTTGAAAACCTCTCACTGTCGCACATTACACACGGCAATAACCCACTGTGCATGGCTCCTCTGCTCCCACTGCACTTTTCCTTCTCCTGATGAGTTGAGAGCATTTCTGTCCTTCCCTGCTAAGGACCAGACGTGGCGCAGAATTTGGATGTATGTGATGAGCAGCTGTGAGTGACCGTATGGGGATATAAATAAAGATGTATAGCTCACCATGCAGGGATTCCAGCACCTTCAGTGTTTCCTTACAACAGACTCCACCACTAATCAGAAAACACCAGCTGACCTGATCCCACTAGGGAACAAGAAATTAGAAGAGAAAGACTTCTCTCTCCTCACCACCATCCCACAGCTCACTCTCCCAAGTCCCACCAACCCATTAGTTTAATGGCACTATAATATCAAGAAGAATCAACATTGAATAATTATATCAGGCTTTTGAAAGATTCGAAATGTTATCCATTCCCCACTATGCAAGCCCTGCCACTTTTTGTTGTGGGGAGGCAGGAGAGGTTCATGGTGAAGGGATCCAAGGCACTGCCTCTCTCCCAGCAGCCTGGGACACCATTCTCTGGTGAATCCCCTCCAGCCAGACTCCAGCTACAAAGCCAGCAGACTCTCCAAAGCACTCAAACCTTTCCCTCCGCAGGCCAAGAACCCAGCTCAATACCAAAGTCAAACGCTTTGCAAGTGCTGGATCAGTGCCTTTCTGTTATCTTATCAAAATTTATCCTGATCTTGTTTCTAATTCATATCTAAGGAATGCATTCCAAACTCTCTGCATATGCTTTTAGCTACTGCCACGAAATACCATCGAAGTTGCATACTATAGTTAAGTCTCCCTGTTATCTAGGCTAAATATGTTGAGTTTAGTAAGCATTTCTCCACAAGTCCTTACCCTCGCTACCCAGAGATTACATCTTTTACTCACAGAAAGCACAGTTCAAGGCCATAATTTTCATTTTCAAAGGCACATATGCATCATGTTAAAATTAGCTGGCTGAATATGCACACTTCATGATTATGAATTCCACCCCGCATGACTTTATGATCTCATTTTTATAATGGAGAGGGGAATATTATTCTGAAAAGTCTCCCTAAATATTAAAAGAAAAAAAAAAATTACCTAACAAGACTAGCAAGAGTTCAGTTTCTCATTTCTAATAAGAGATCAAACTGATCATGCCCAGATGCCTTACTGCTGATTCAAACCGTAATCAATCAGGGCTGGGTTACGTATCACGAACCCCACGGCGTTAAAACAGAAGCAGTAATAACAGGACAGCCGAGTCAGCGTTGCCTTCATACTTCCTACATTAACACTTGTAGAAAATGCCACTCATCCAAAACTTGCATTTCCTTCTAACATCTGAGTTCATATTTACTTCCGTTCCCTGTTTACATCCACAAGTTAGCAAAATTTCTGAAGATTTTTCACAACTACCTCTTTTTCTGTGCAAGAGTTACGACATCGGTATTTGGTTCTTCAGGATATTACAGCTGTCCTGGGGCCAACACGCAGCAATCCAAATAAGCACCCGCTTCCACCGCAGACTATCTCAAACACAAAATAGCCTGGAATACCATGAAATTACAGGAAGGCTCTAAGGCTACAAATATAACAGAACTTAAAATGAATGCGTAAGCACAGACAACGTGGATTAACATCAATATATATACACTCATATCTTTATGGCATTGTCTAACAAAAGTCAAACTTTCAATTTCAAGAAAGAGTTGTCCATTCTACCTCTTGCACCACATATTAGGTTGCTTTGAATTTCAAGGTTACACCCTGTTTTTTCTATCAGACTCTCCCATCATTCAAGGCAGAAGAGGAATGGTATAACTTTGCCACAAATTTTGTCAGTAGATTTCAAGCTTTTAAAACACACCTAGCACAAACATCTGTCACTTGAGCCAATCCCAACAGCAGGAGCAGGCAGTTGTCTCCATGTGCACCAGCAGCAGATAAAACACACACTGTGCCAGCAGGTTTCCAGTTACTGCTGACAGCAGAGGAACACAAGCTCCCAGACTCCTTGATTTAATTCCATCTCCTGGAGGATCCTCAATTCAGGATACAGCTAAGCATTTTTGCTGGTTTTAGCAAGTACTTTATTTTCAAAACCAAAAGTGCTAAGACACCCCCTTGTGCCCCCAGTTTTGGTCTATTCAGAACTGTTGGTAATTCAAGTTGGACAAAACATCTGGAAAAAAAAAAAACAATCAACAAACCCACGCTCTTTGAAGACAGATTCACAAAAGACTTGGAGAAGGCAGTAGCAAGATGTCCCTCTACTGTCTAGATGCTTAGTAGTGGGAGGATACAGACCTATGTAGGAAACCACTGTCTTATTTCCCTCCTCTGTCTAGATATATTTGAACCCTGCCATGGTGCTCCAGACTCTACAGACCAACAGGAACTGCAACAGGAAACCGGTTGCTTCTGCAGCACCGAGGGGGCATCTTCACTTTTTCTCCTGCAGATGCAAGGATAGCTCCTCAGAAAACTCTCTCCAAAGGAGATTTCTTTCAAAATCTCATCTCCCTGACCTATAAAATATTTTATCTGTTAGGCTGCAAAAAGAGCAGAATGCTAGTACAGAAAATTCTAAACTAGAAGAAATTAGAAGCAATACAAAGGAGCAGCAAAATACAGGAGAAAATCAATTTGATCGCCTGAATGCAGGTGTCCTCACATTAAAACCA